AAAACCAAACAACAGGATTAATTAATCTATTTCACTGACGTGTCCATTTTCCCAGCAGTCCTCCTGGCATGTAGAAGATACATTTTCCACAGGTGCAGACTGTGTGTGTCAGAGAGCTACCATATAGCTCTGTTTTAAAACTTCTTTTCTTTTACTATGTTTTTTTAAAGTTCTGCCTGATAATTGTGGATTGTATCTGGAGGCCCACTTGCTAAAAGCAGGTTGAGTCATAAGCAGGTTGTAAGAGTCCAGGAGACCTGCAGTGATGACTAAGAGAGTCATTATTTGATGAAAAGGGAAAAAATAGGTATTGGTTTGAAAGGAAGGCTGGGGGAGCATGAAGAACTTCTTGAACAGGGGAAAAAAAACCACTTGGAAGCTAGCTGGCAGGATGAGTGGGGACCAGAGAAAACCGGTCTTGTGCGGTAGAACTTGCTGCTGCATTTTAATCACATCTCTATGTGACTGGTTTTTTTCCTCTTTCTGTTTTTTTCATCAAGCAAGAAAGGACACAGAGGGGATTCAGCAGTAATCTAGCGCTTTAAACTTTGTACTTTGTCCCCTTGCACATTTTTAATTTGACATCTGGAAATTTTTCATTGTAAGTTCAAATAGATGTAAACATGATATACATTCTGTAACCTTGCAAATATTGACAGTTTAAAATTAAACTCATATCATTCTTTTAACATCTTCAATGGATTCTAACTAAATATGATTACATTTTGATATACAATGTCAACCATTAAAATATAAATAGATAACTTCACAGTCAGACTTTTAACATCATTACCATTAATTCTTGAATTCATTCACTTTCCCTATGGAATTTTATTCTAATGTCAAGCACATTTTTATACTTGCAAGTCTTCACTTCATCATCCTATTGTATATCTTAACAAAAATATGTACATAAAATGAAAATTTAAACAAAAATTGCTGTGACCAGAAGTCTTCAGAATGTTAAAATAAATTAGTGAATAAATAGATGTTATGCAGCTAGAGAGTGACAGAGTATTAATTAAAAATCCTGGGACTGTGCTCTAACTTCCAGATCTTAGCCACTCTACTCTGCTATACTCTGGGACCTCAGAGAAGAGATCATACTGTGACTTATAGACATGGCAAGACTCATGATGGTAGGCCTTTCTCTTGTAAATTGGGAAAGGGTAACTGTGAAAGGAAAGGTGAGAAAGTGGAGAACCACAATGACTCTTCAATCTCAGGTATGTGCCTAGCAGATCAAATTTCCAGAGCAATCCATATGTAAAATGGAAATCTATTCTCTAAAAACTCCTTCTGTACAGCACTGAGCAGAATCTTTGGCCTCTACCCACTAGATAATAATAGTAGTTTCCTTTCCACTTATGACAACCAAAAATATCTGCAGATATTGCCAAATGTTCTTGTGTGGGGTGCAAAATCACCCCCAATTGAGAACCTCTGACTTGGAACTATGAAGATCCTAGCCTGAAGACTGATTGCATATACAGCTTGTTTGGAAAATGAAACAGGCACACGCAAATATGCTATTTTAACAACAGTCAAATGTGTTCTTTTAATTTTATTTGGGAAAAGCACAAAATCTGACTGCTTTTGTTTAAATTCCCTTCCATATGAGCAGAGTTGTTGAGTGCTTGGGGAAAATGAATGATTGAATCAATCTCAAAGATATTTTGGCCTGACCAAACATTGGGTCTCTAAAGAACCAAAACCAGGTTAGGATAAACTGTAAGTCACATGACACTTAACAATGTGTATACATTCTGGAAATTGCATCATTTGGCTTTTTTTTTTTCATTGTGCAAACTTCAGTGTACTTACACAAACTAAGATGGCCATGGCACTAGTAAATGCTATAATTTTATGGGACTACCACCATATATGCGGTCCTGTATAAACGATATGCCATTATGCATATGACTGCATTCAACAATACCAGGGAAGGGGAACAAAGCAGAAGGATGCAGTCACTAACAACAGAAATCATGATGAAACCTGCCAATTGCTTTGTGACCACTATCATGCTACGTGTTTTATATGGACTTTAGCTTTGAGTAATCTCAATAACTCGAGGTCATTATAATCATTTGTTAGTTAACATAAGGCTAGGTTGTGGTAATAAGACTAAAAATCTTCTGTAATTTAAACAAAATAGGAATATGTTTATCTCCAGGAAAAGGCTGCCTATTTGGCTCTCAGGTCTGCATTCCAGCCAGTGGGAAAGATGAAAAGGGGACTATGATGACATGTACTTTTCTTTTAAGGGTACAGTCTAAAAGTTACACATCTCATTCTGTTCTCACTGTACTGGCTTGATCCAGCTGCAAAGGCAATGTGGACTTCCACAGCAAGAATCTATCCAGGTATAGGAATTGGTCAACTATAGTCTGAGATCCAAAAATATTTTTGGTAAATAAATTTTTGATGGAACATTGTCACTCCCACTCATTTATGTATTATCTATGCTGCCTTCTAAATACAATGGTATTGTTGAATAGCTGTGACAAAGACTGGATGCCCCACAAAATTTAAAATATTACTCTGTGGTCTTTAAGAAAAAGTTTACCAATCCCTGATATACAAGAAGGAAAGAATGGATATTATGGGACACAAGATTATTATTTAACATATGAGAAAACAGGCACATAAATGGTACCTCAATGGGACAGAGTGAGATCTGAGCATGGTTCTGTTTGGCTCCAGAGGCGAAGCACTGTTCACTCTATCATAGTGCCACATTAAATCATTCAGCAAATATTTATTGTGTCTGCTCTGTGCCAGGCAATGTTGTAGGAGCTGAGGATTCAGTAGTGAATAAAAGAGAGGACATCCGTGCTCTCATGGAGCCTGTATAAAAAGAGACCAACTATTAGACAGAACTAAGTGTAACGTAGTACATATTACAGGTGATTGGTGCTACAAATAAATATGAATCACTAAAGAAAGGGATGGCAGTGACAGAGTGGAGGTGGGGATTCATTTTTAAAGAAAACAGTTAATGATGGCCTCCAGTTGGAGATACCAAGGAGAATGTGTCCCAGCCAAAGCTCTTGAGGAGGAGGCAGGAGTCTGTGCTGAGAACATCCAATAAAAACGCAAAGTTACCCTCAAAAAGGAGGTTGAAGCAAGGGTCAGGAGCTGAACAGGAATGGGAGCCAAAAGAACAAAGAGAGCAGTGTGGCTGCCCGCATCGTGTATGTGGTGGGGACTGGTACAAGTGGAGTGTAGGAAAAGGCTAGCTAAAAGATACACGATCATGGTGGAGAATTTGCCTTTAACCCTTTTAGACAGAATTCAAAATCTTCTTTGCACGTAGACCAAGAAGGACACTCGTGCACATACACACGTGTAAATAATAGTGGACCGTGCTTCAGTTTGTGTGGTGAAATGATTATGACTGTTGGGATCACACAGAACCATGTATTTGACTCTGCCCCATGCTCATTCAACGATTTCAGACAAATTGTTGTTGGTGCTGCTATTAGTCCTGATTTATTGAGAATTTTCTGTGTGGCAGGCACTTTGTATACGTGATCTCATCTAATGCTTATGTAACTCTATAGATACACCTTAATGTTATTTTAAATTATTTTCAAATTAAATTAAGTGTTAGAATTAAGTGGTGATAGGTAACAGTTCAGAAGTAATAATAAATGCACAATTTTCCTCCTGTAACTTTATATGGCTTTACCTTATTTCAGTATAGCAATTAGTATTCTTGGCTACTACTTCTGTGGGGATGTTTCTAGCAATATTTTCATTTTGTAAACAAAAAACTTTAATGCTTATTTAGTGCTTGTTATATGTCAGATGGTGTTCTCATTACTTTTCATGTACTCCTCCAAATAGCACTGTGAAGGAATACTTCTAATTCTTGTTTTTCAGAGGAGAAAATTGAAGCTCAACGAGGTGAAGTAACTTTGCCAATGTCACACAGCCAATAACTGGAAAGACTAGGATTTGGTACAAGACAGTCTGGCTCTGAAGTTCATGTGTTTAATACCACACTGCCTTGAAAAATGGACCAGTGTCAAAATTGACTGAGAAAACATTTCTCTCCTATTGCTGTTTTTGCATGTGGAAAGCCTGCTTGTTTGGGACTTGTGACCTAATCCATGGTCAGTGTCTCTCTCATGTCATCATATCTGAATTGCAGGCAAAGTCCTATGGAGCAATATCCACTTCTACAAGACTGACGTGGGAAACCCAGATTTAAAGTGAGAGCAAAGATGATATGTGCCTTTTGTCTTTGTATGTGTGAATATCTACAGATATGTGTGTGCATATGTTTTTTAGATATGTGCCACATGAAACTAACCAGTAGTTTCAGATGTCAGCTGCTAGGCTTCTTTCCCAAACATAAATTCCAGCCTTTTATGGAGCAAGATTTAAAAATAAATCCTTATTTCTTTTAGGATGTACACCTGGTTTTCCACGACCTACTCTCTCCAGTAACTGCTGTCCCACGCTTCAGAGATGCAGCTACCAAGCAAGCATGGTTGGTCTGGTAACATTCAATAGAATGATCCTTAGCTCAGTCCTGGCCTTTTAGCCCTCATTTCCTGCTCTGCTCAAAAAAGCCATAAATACAGTTTTGCTATCTTTCTTTGAATTATCAATATTTAGTAAGGATTTGCTTGGGAGTTTCTTCTTTCCAAAATGACATAATGGATTCCATGCATAGACCTTGCATGCTTCCTTTGAATGTGAATTTGGGGGTGACAACCTGCTACCGGTATGATTGTTCTTTTAGGGATGGGATAGATAGATTCCCACTGAGTTATTTCTTCTATACAGTCTCCTTATCCTGTTTCCCACTGTGATCAGATATCAGGATCAACTGATTTCTAGAGACAGGTTTCTGAAGACAAATTTAACTGGTTTTGTTAAGGACCAATATTGAAGAAATAGTCTCACCAGTGCAGAGGTCTAACCACTGATACAGCTGGATTATGTGGGAAATCTGAGTAGTAGGGTGACCCGATCGATGTACTGGTATGGAGAAGCTAAGACTTCCTCTGGAACTTTTGCCTTCTGTGGGACCAGAAAACACCACGATGATGGTAACTGAATTGATCATATTGGGGTTTGGAAACCTCAAGGAACTGAGTCCCTTGCTCTTCCTTGTGTTTGGCATGATCTATCTAGCCACCATTTCTGGGAATATTCTCCTTGTGGTGCTGGTGTGCACTCAAAGAGGACTGCAGACTCCAATGTACTTCTTTCTGGCAAACCTCTCATGCTTGGAGGTCTGCTACACATCCAACATTGTGCCCAGGATGCTGGTGGATTTGTTGAGGGAAAACAGGGTGATCTCCATGGTTGGTTGTATTACTCAGCTTTACTTCTTTGGGGCCCTGGGCAGTACTGAATGTTATCTACTGGCTGTGATGTCATATGATCGGTACCTGGCTGTCTGCTGGCCCTTGCACTATCCAACATTAATGCACGGAACCCTGTGTGTAGGGCTAGTAATTGGCTCATGGTTTAGTGGCTTCACAGTAGCAGCTGTGTTCCAGGCTGCTATGGTATTCAGCTTGAACTTCTGTGGTGGCAATGAGATTGACCACTTCTTCTGTGACTTGAAACCTCTGCAGAAGATCTCCTGCTCTGATCCCCATCTGGTCAACCTGGTCTGCATGAGTCTAACAGCCCTGGTGACCCTGGCCCCCTTTGGACTAACTCTAGCCTCTTACTGGAGGATTCTTTCAGTGGTTTTGAATATAACTTCCATGACTAGTAGACAAAGGGCATTCTCCACTTGCTCCTCTCATCTAGTGGTTGTGACCTTGTTTTACGGGACCTTAATCTTGGTCTATGCTGTGCCCTTAGATGGCCAGGTGTCAGCTCTCAACAAGACCTTCTCCTTGCTCTACACTGTTGTCACTCCCATGTGTAATCCTCTTATCTACAGCCTCAAAAACAAAGATGTCAAGGAGGCTCTGAGGAAACTGGGGATTTGATCCTACAATGATGATATCCATTCAACCAACAAAAATGAAGGCAGCCTAAAGTCAAAACATTCTATTTTTAAAGCAGCCCTAATTGGATTAAGACAACATAGGATAGATTATAATTTTTATAAACCCAAATTTTGGCTAATCCCCAAATCTTATGTTTTTAGGGAAGGGTTGGTCCTAGTCTCCTTGAACTGATATTTTTTTCCTTGAGCATATTTGTACTACAAGACAAAAGAAGTACTTTCTAGTCGATGGGAGGAGAACCATTCTAGGATACGTAATATATAATTGCTGTACACAATTCCTCCAAAAACTAAACCTTGGAAGTAAGAATTAGAAGGGATACTTTAGTTGTGTTCATTTTCCATATGGAAATATCACACGGAGCTCCATTCATATGTAGAATTAATAAATGTTAATTAAAATTTAAAAAAAGATGGTTCTTGCTTTTGTTCAGTTAAGGAGACTACCCTGATTTTAAAAAGGAAATGCAACACAATGCAGTATAAATTATGTACTATGATATATGTGGAAACAGTTACTATTCATTAGGATCATAAACATATCTAAAGAGAAAAGTAGAAAACTTCAGTGAAGCAAGTGGGGAAATAAATACATAAATAATTCTGGAATATCTTGGGGATGGAGGAGGAGTGATAACTGTTTTACCCCCTTAAGTATGGGGGAAGCTTCCTAAATGAAGATGTCATGTTCACTTCCTTCAACACCTAGACTAGAGTTCTGGCTGGAAGGCTGACTGTTAAATGGTCAATAATAATACTGCAACACTACTTGGCCTGAAATTACAAAGATAAAAATGGAGTCTAGAAGAATATATGGAAACCCACTGGTAGACTAGTTTTGAAGAAATGTGCATTAAGGACTTACAGCAATATATTAGAAATGTGGATAGCCTCAAGCATTTTTTCTGTATTGAGTTTTCTCTAACATTTAGAGTGACGCACTGTGTTTTCATTACTTTCTTTCTGTTCCCCTTCCAGATCCTGTTTTGTTGTATACCTGAGTTTGTCTTGCCAGCTTCATTTGTGCTTCTGCTTCCTATTTTCATATCTGTTATCAGCTAACTAACATTTCCAATTGGTATAGTAAAGCTACACTCCAGAAAAGAGGGAAAACACAAAAATTCTCTTCTGAAAAGTGAGAGGATGCATGTATTCATTTATTCGACCAAAAATATTTATTGAGAGCCTAATATTATTCACACATTGTGCTAGGTACTAGGAATAGAATTATGAATAAGAATAATGAAGAATGTAGACAGTTTCCAACCTTGAAGATATTATAGTCTGGTGGCCTTGGTGTTCAATTGCTCAGAATTTCTGTTATTACATTTTTATAGAATATGTACATATTGAAAGAACTAGTTATTAACAGAATGTCTGCAGGTAAAATCTGAATGTTCTTATTTACTTTAATTTTAAAAGTAATTATGTAATGTAAGGGACAGGACTTACAAAATTTTTAGTGGGACATAGGAACAAGAAGAAATGTCAGAATGTCCTTTGTTTAACTCAATCCACCCCATTTGGTCTCCTTCTTTTTCTTTTGATGGGACTGGGGTTTGAATTCAGGGCTTTGTGCATACGAAGTAGGTGCTCTACCACTTGAGCCATGCCTCTAGTCCACTTTGCTCTGGTTATTTCAGACATGGGGTCTCATAAACTATTTGCCTAGGTTGGCTTCAAACTGTGATCCTCCTGATCTCAGCCTCCCAAGTAGCTAGGATTACAGGCATGTGCCACTGGCATCCAAAAGGTTTTAACATTCTCTTGGAACCCTTCATGACTGTCCTGCTCATGCTATTTCTTCCACTGAGAAGGGCTTTTTCTTCATTTGACATGAAGCATGCAGTGCTCTGCATTTTTTATGCAAGGTCCTATCTTTCCATGACATTGTAAACCCTTTAAGGACAGAGTCAGAAAGTCATTTTCAGTTGTACACTCAAGTACCCAGACTACTGCTCTGCACCCAGGAGACATTTGGTACTTATATTCATAGGAGGAAGTCAAGCTCCTCAGGATTCATGGCAGTCCATGACCCTGATCTTGCCTCCTTCTCCAATCTCATTTCCAACTGGGTTCCATTTCACTGTACCACACCTGTGCATCAGTATGCAGGGTCTTTACTCAGGAAATCTTGCCTATGTATATATATATGACACCTAGATAATGCCCTTCACCTTTTTACTACTTAGATCTACCATTATCTTCTTCAGGAAAATTTGCCCTACTATCTTCTTATATCCAATACATTGAATCAACTGATGCTGTCTCCTATGTTTCTACAGTATTCTCCATGGACCTCAGTTTAAGGAAATATCAGTTTATCTGTGGTTTACCACTGTGTCTTCTGTGCCACAGAATGCTTGGCATATAGGAGATGCTGATTTTTTTCTGAATAAATTTTTTGAGTGAATTTCTGAGTGTTTGTATATCTTCCATACTAACTGAACTCTATTACCTCCTTTGATTCAAGGATTACCTGTGTCCTGACAATTCCTCAATAGTTTAATATTGTGATAAGCACTATGAAGGAAAAGTGTGGGCTTCTCGGAAGGCATATAACAAAGGGACTTAATTTGAATTGTATGGGGACTACCACAGAAGGCTTTTTTTTGATGATACAGCATTTGAATGGAGTCCCAAAACACAGATGGGAGTAAACCAGGCAAAGATAGAGGGTAAGATGGAGTGAGGTAGGGGAAGATTTGTACAGTGAGAATAGCTAGCAACAAGATCTGCAGTGGTAAAGATTGTTTTGAGAACAGAGAAGAGGTTAACATAGTGAGCATGTAGCAATCAAGGGAGAAAGTGTCCTAGACAGGGCAGGGATGTAGGCAGTAGACTGGTAATGCAGTGCTTCCTTGGACGTCTTTGTAAGGGAGATTGGAATTCTCAAAAGGTAATATGATCCTTCTTGTTTTTTAAATCACTGTGGCTGCTATTTGGAGAATGATTTTTGATAAGAGTGGAGAATGAATGGATGTTTGGAAATCAGTTAGGACACTATTATAATGTTTACTGGTTAAAGATCATAGTATGTACTAGAAGAGTAGTGGCAGAGATGGAGAGAAATGACTTGAACTTGATGTATTCAGAAATAGAATTGATAGGGTTTGATTGACAGAGGGAAGCATGAACAATAACTTTCTGTTCACTAGATTATATTTGACTATATGTTGTGCTACTCACTGAGTTGGGAGAACCCTGGAATATGGCCAGGCTTCAGGGAAAGGAGAAATGGTGAAACCAGTTTTGTACAGGAGTATTCTGACATAGTAGTGGATGTCCAGTAGGAAATTAAATGTACTGATCTGGTTATTAAAGTGAAGAGATAGCTTACAAAATGGAAGAGTCTTCTCTAAGTATTCATCTGACAAGAGATTAATATCCAACATATATAATGAGCTCAAAAATTAAATGTCAAAAGAACAAATAATCAATTAATAAATGGGCACATGAATTGAGCAGATACTTCTTAAAAGAAGTACAAGTGATCAATAAATATATAAGAAATGTTCAATATCCTTAGCCAAAAGGAAATGCAATTAAAAATGGCATTGAGATTCCATCTTACCCAGTGAGATCATCAAGAAACCACTGTTGATCGGAATGTAAATTAGTGCAGTCACTATGGAAATCTCCATGGATCTTCCTCAAAATAGATCTAAAAATAGAACCATTTTTTCTAGCTATACCACTCCTGGATATATGCTCAAAGCAATCAAAATCATCAAATAATAGAGGTACCTGTACACCTATGTTTATTGCAGTACTATTTACAATAGCCAAGTTACAGTAACTTCCTAGGTGCCCATTTACAGATGAATGGATAATAAAAATTTAGTATATATACACAATGGAATATTATTCAGACATAAAGAAGAATGGAATGATATCATTTTCAGGAAAATGGATAGAGCTAGAGATCATCATGTTAAGTGAAATAAGCCAGACTCACAAAGCTAAATATTGTATATTTTACCTAATATGTTGGATCAAGATTTTTTTAAACAACATGAAATAAGGGGCATGATTTTGGAAGAGGAAGGGGATTAATGGGAAAAGAAGGGGACAATAGAGTATAGAAGGGAATGAATATTATCAAAGTGCATTAAATGCATATATGAAACAATTATTTAATTAATTTATTTTTTATTATCATTCTTATTGTACTGGAGTACATTTACAAAAGTGCTTACAATATTCTTATTTAAATTCTTATTAAATATATCTTAGTTAAATTCCATCATTCTCTTTTTATCCCCCTTCCCCCATTATTAGAATAGTTTCAATAAGTCTCATTTTTCCATTTTCATACATGATTACCTGATATTTCCACCATATTCACCCTCCTACTCCCTTTCTTTATAGCTTCCCCCTCCCACTGGCACAAACCCCTAAACAGGACCTGTTTTACTTCCTGTACTCTGTTTTTGAAAAAAAAGACAATTTATCTTGTTTACCATATCTACACAGAGAGTTTCATCATAAGATTTCCATGTATTTATGTATTACAACTCAAATTGGTTCATCCCCTCCATTTTTTTTCTAGTTTAGTCCCCTTCTTATGGTAATTTCAACAAGTTTAAAAATTATATATTCCTTCTTGTATAGAAAGTACATCAACCATATTCCTCTTCTTTACTTCCTTCTTTTACCCTCTCCCTTCCATTAGTTCCCTCCCCTTAGTGTGACCTACTTTTCTTTTTTTAAAAATTTTATTTGATCATTCTTACATTTACTCATGTGTAAATGTAAAAATTTACTCATATTATTTGGCCCACCTTCCCCCTGCTTGCTTCCTTCTGGGCAGAACCTGTTCTCTGATTTTGTTGAAGAGAAAACATATTGGACCATGTCCAATAATATTATTGCATTCGTTGTAGGTCTATAATCTACATATGAGGGAGAACATGTGATTTTTGGCCTTCTGAGCCTGACTAACATCTCTTAAGATGATGTTCTCCAGTTCCATCCATT